GGTAAGCAAAGGTAATTAAAGGCAAGCAATACCCAGCTAACAACATGGCTGTGGCTTTTTTATTCAGTTGAACTGTTTCACACACAAAAAAATGTAGAATTATCACTTACAGTGCAAACGTACAGAGCCCTTAAAGTGCCAGTTTAAAAAAAAAAAACACATTACAGTGATATTGCATTCCCTTGAGAATGTTTTCCCTTGCAAATATTTTTGCATTCTCTCACAAATGTTTTGCAAAAATCCATGGCATTTGCAAGGGAATGCAAAATTATTGCGAGGAAACACAAAACACTTGCAAGGAAACACAAAATTATTGAGAGAGAACACAAAATTATTGCGAGAGAGCACAAAATTATTGCAAAGGAATGCAAAACACTTGCAAAGGAACACAAAATTATTGCGAGAAAACACAAAATCATTATGAGGGAATGCAAAATTACTGCGAGAGAATGCAAAATCATTGTGAGGGAATGCAAAATTTTTGCAAGGGAACACAAAATTGTTGCGAGAAAATGCAAAAATCACTGCAAGGGAATGCAAAATTATTGCAAGGGAACACAAAATTATTGTGAGAGAATGCAAAATCATTGCAAGGGAATGCAAAATTATGGCAAAGGAACACAATTATTGTTAGAGAACATAATCATTGTGAAAGGAATTAAGGAATGCAAAATTATTGCAAGGGAACACAAAATTAATGTGAGAGAATGCAAAATCATTGCGAGGGAATGCAAAATTATTGCAAAGGAACATATTTATTGCGAGAGAACCTAATCATTGTGAAAGGAATTAAGGAATGCAAAATTATTGCAAGGAAACACAAAATTATTGCAAGGGAATGCAAAATTATTGCAAGGAAACACAAAATTATTGCAAAGGAATGCAAAATTATTGCAAGGAAACATAAAATTATTGCAAGGGAATGCAAAATTATTGCAAGGAAACACAAAATTATTGCAAGGGAATGCAAAATCATTGCGAGAGAGCACAATGTCATTACCTTTTTATTTTTATTTTTTTAAACCACGGCCCCTTAGGGTCTCCGTACGAATGTGTGCACGTACAGATTAAAATGTAGGAACTGTTTAAAATGAAGGAACTGTAATAATCCTTATCGAGCTGCTTCTTGTTCCTATGGTAACATTGTGGCTACTGTTGTTATCACATGATCTGCTCTGTTTTTATTGTGCGCAACAAGCAAGTCTGTGATATTGCGGGTTACATTTATTACAAAACTCATCAAATTTGTGATTTTTTTCATTCAATAGCAGATCCAGCATTTTCTGCATCAGCGTAACGCTCATACTGGGTGTTGGACTGGTGCCAACTGTACCAGTGACGCAACAGAAAGTTTGGACTTTCCTTAAAGGGGCTCCAGGGAGCCGTAACGGAAGAAGCTGAGCAGGGAAATGGTTTTACAGTTTGCTCCCTTCCCAAATTTCTCTCCAGAGGCAGATATGAACGAGCTCCATTTTCTCAATTACATACCCTACCAATCAAAAGATCTGCAACACTGATATCGATAATTTGTGTGTTTATATACAATAACAACTTACACAATGTAGATGTTGATCTCAACTAGACACCACAAGGTATTTCTGATGTTGTTTTCAGTATTTCAAGGACTTGCTATACTGTAAATTCTACTCTACAATGATCTATTTACTGTAATATTTGGCAAGTTATCTACTTCAGGATTTGATCACCACTTTCTAATATTAGGATATGAATGTTGTTAGAACTTAATTCTGGCTATTAATTTTATAAACATTTCATTCTGGATATTAATTTTTTTATAATTTAATACTGGATATTAATTTTATTCAAATTTCATTCTAGATATTAATGTTATTCTATTCTGGATATTAATTTATTATAAATTCATTCTGGATATTCATTTTATTCTAATTTCATTCTGGATATAATTTTATCACAAATTTATTCTGGATATTTATTTTATTCTGATTTCATCCGGGTTATTAATTGATTATAAATTAATTCTTGATATTATTATTATTTATATTTAATTAAGGATATTAATTTATTATGAACTCATTCTTGATATTATTATTGTTTTTCATTTCATTCAAGATATTAATTTAAGTTCAATGCAGATATTAATTTTATTCTAATTTCATTCTGGATTTTTTTTTTAATAAATTCATTCTGAGTATTTCTTTTTAATCACAACTTCACTCTGGATATTAACTTTATTACAGCTTCACTCTGAATTTTAATTTTATTCAATTTTCATTTGGGATATTAATTTCATTATAAATTCATTGTGGATATTAATTTCATTAGAATTTCAATCAGGATGTTGATTTTGATAGAATTTCATTCCGGATATTACTTGAGGCGGCAAAATGTAACAGCTGCACCGTTTAAGGTGGAATGGAAAATTCAAATGAGAAGCCAGTTTTAGCCTCATAGCTCCTTTGCTGACAGGAGTAGTTCTACACAGTTATACAAGTTACTCAGTACTTAAGCAGATTCAAGCTGGTACATTTGAGCTTCTACTAGTTATTTTTTACTGCTTTCAGCAAAGGTTACTTTTTCTTGTAGTGCAGTCATTATTTCTCTACTTGTCTGGTCATCTATTTCACTCCCTTTTTCTCTGGAAACGAGACAGCTGTTGTGGACGTGAGCTCGGATCCTTTTCTACAAACCAAACTCGTCCCCGGTGTAGGAAACTCCCCGGCTAAAACAAAAGCCCAACCAGGATGCAACTTTTTTTTTTATTTTCCACAGCGTCCACAAACCCAGAGAGTGAAGCACAAAAGACTTACGCGAGCGCTCGTTTCTGTTTGTAAGTGGCTTATCATAAGCCCTTAGTTTGGATAAAGTATTACATTCTTAAAGGTAATCACATGGGCTGTAGGAGAGGCCTGACCGCCTGTAAACAGAGTGTAATGAATGTTGTCATGTGCTTAATCTCTTCCATTTTAAGGGCCACGTTTTCCAAAATCTTGACCTCATTTATAAATTTACTCATTTACTTATTTTTACACGGCAGTTTTCCAACCTTTCTTTACGCCTTAGAATTCAACAAACAGCTTTTGTTACTGTGCCTTTAAGACTGATATATGTAAATGAGCTCTTCTCTGTTGTTCAAACAGCAATCTGGGCTGAAACAGGCAGATTTTGCAGCTTAATTTCCAGAGATGGACCGTATAGACTGAGGAGTGAGTGGTATGTTTTGACCTGTATTAGACTATTCTTTTTAATAAAAAGTAGGGAAAATTCAGTTTTCCATTATAGTTGATGACAACCAATGATAATTTTCCATGATTTATTGTTTTAAAGACAAATTAGACCCCTTGACACCTCAACTCAACTGTTGTGTAACGTTCTCAAGACCCTCAAATTTGCTTTCTTTGGGAGACAAACTCAACTCAATCTTCACTTTATCATGCTCATCATTGGAAGTACCACCATTTTACTTGTATCAAACCAAAATCTGGATGTCGGTCTTTGATAACAATGGCAACATCTATGTTCGACGATGTTTCCAGGCCCTACAACTTGGTAGACATTGTCAGTTCACTCTTCACTTCAAAGATTCATTTCACCAGTACCAACATCTGGACTCCACTGACCCTGATGCCAATAGAAACCTGTTTTTTTATAATGTGCAAGATCTGGACATTTTTCAGAACCAGGCCTAAAACTGGACACTCTTCCCTGACAACAATGGCCACAACTCCTTACTACAGTGCTTTCACAGTTTCTAACTTGGTAGGTAACATCAGCGCAATCTTCAATCCATCATGCCCAAAACTGTTTTCATTGCAAGGCCACTATTTGAGTTGTAACAAAATCTCAAGACTTTGCATTGACATCATTGGTTGTTTTGGATGATATTCAGGTCACTATAACATGTAGTTTTATAATCTTCATAAAACTTCTGCAGATATTCTGGACAATGGTGAGAACCACTGATAATCCACACCACATAGGGGAGGGAAAACATAATTCCCACCAGAACTTTGATATTTCCTGGAGGTTTAAATTGCTGGAGTCAAACTGACCCCAAGGATAACAGATGTTAATAAATTCGAAGATAACATGAGGGTTAAAAATGGGCATCCAGGGGGTCCCAGTGGCCTCATTCCTGTCTTTGGCCTAGAGCGTAGAGCCCCAGAATCACTAAATTCACTCCTGTCTATAAGTACGATGTTCAAAAATAAGGAATAATTGAAGATAAACTCAACGCAATCTTCATTTCAACCTGTACATTGCAAGATCCACTGCCCACCATTCACTGACCCCAATACCAACAACTGTGCTACATAATTCCAGGCCCTACAATCTGCACACTTAAAAAGATGGTTCTTCAAGGGTTCTTTAGTAAAGCGAATGGTTCCATTTGGAACCACGAGTTCTATAAAGAACCACTTCATGCTTTGCATGGTGAAATGGTTCATCAGACTGATGGAGAACGTGTTGAACATCGCTGTTGTCGGAAACAAAACTTCGTATCTCCAAAATGGTGACTTTACAGGAGAAGGAAAAAACACACTTTACTTATGTAAGTCAATGGAACCAGACCTTTTTCCAAGTCATTTTGGGTCGTTTCTTTTGGTCCATTCATCATGAAGTTTTGTCACAATGTAAAGAACAGCTGGCATTTTGAAATTATGTCAAAAACTGAAAAACGACAAAAATGGACATGCAAGGTTTGGTTCCAACAACAGCAACATGGTTCAACATAGAACCTCATTGGAAATAGTTTATGCTGTATAGCTCCAGAAAGAGTTATAAGCTTGACATCAACACGTTCTCCATCAATCTGAAGAACCATTTCACCATGCAAAGAACCATTTGGTCCACCAGAACCATTCCCTTTGCTTAAGAACCCTTGAAAAACCCCTTTTAAAGGGTGTGGGACATGAACTCAGTCTGATCTTCTTTTCCCCACTTTATTTGCCAGATTCCCAAAGCCAGCAGCGGTAGGTTGGGTTGGGAGGTTGGAGCTGGGAAAAAGGTGAGTGCTGTACCTGTGATCTTCCCCCCAGTGTCTCCGTGCCCCCTCCTCCGCTGCAGGACAAAGTAGTCGTTGGATTTCTCCGTGACCCAGAGCTTCAGGGCGTTTTTCAGGGCAACCTCTTCTGGAGTCAGCCACATCCTTCCCGAAAACAGTGCCAGACAACCAGACGAAGGCAGTCCTGCGCGCTTGCTGTGCTTCAAGAAAGGCCCGAGTCCAGTGATAAGGCGCCCATAACACAGCTACCCGTGTGCTGGACGCCTCTGCGCGCCGCACGCAGCTCCTCGAGCTCTCGGCCACTTTTGGTTCATGTTTTTGTTCCGTCTCCTCAGTCGCAGCCCGAGTGGAGCTGCGCCGTGTTTTTTCCCCACCCGTTTTCAGGCAAGGCCCGCCTTCCCGCGCTGGGATTGGCTAGTAGGGAGTGCGCAAGAGCAGCCCGCTGATTGGCTAGTGTAGAAGTCACTCCCATCACCACGGCAACCGTAGAACTTTGAGAAGCGAGCCAGCTGTTCCATTGTGTTCCGCTGTTGCTACGGTGACGAGAACGACGTTTTAACTGGCCAATCAGCGACGTGCTCCTGCGAAGGGCTGTGTTCCAATTGACGTACACTCGTACACCATCTATTCAGTTCTAGTAAGAGCGCAGGTCCGTAGAGTAAACCAGAGGTGGGAGGCTACAGATGTGTAGAGGTGGGTAATCCAGGTCCAAAAAGTGAAAACCCTCCCCAGGATTTTGTTCCAACTGCCTGAACGTCTTCGCTGCTGGTTTGAGCAAATTAGGGAAGTCAAGCAGTTGGAACAAAGTCCTGGGGAGGGTTTTCACTTTTTGGACATGGATTACCCACCTCTGCAGATATGTTTGTATACATAGGTTGTGCATCTATACTTTTTTGAATTTCACTACTCACCATTAAAAGGATTCATATTGCAGATTATTTCAGTCTGACAGATATCTGTCGATTCGATTTTTAATACATCTAAATTATTGATTTCTATAGCCTAAATCAGGGGTGTCAAACTCAACCACTAAAAAGGCCACATTAAAAAATCGCAGCAAATCTGTGGGCCAGCTGTGTTTTTATTTATTGCCATTGTTTACTCAAAATACGCCAAAACTGCAACAGCAAAACAGGCACTGAATACATATTCAAAAATAATTCTAAATAAAAATAAAGTGTTCTTTAACCTGCCTTTTGAACTGCATTTGCTTGAACTGGACACCAGGCATCTTTTCTTTTTGTGTAACCACTGACCCTTAGAGCACACACCAAGTTGCAGTGCATGCTGGGGATTGTAGTACATCTCAGGGTGAAACAGGCTAATATTAATAGAAAATTAATATAATAGCTGGTGAATGAGGCTCAATGTGTTTTCTTATATATGTTGTGGTGATACAGGCCTGTAGATTTTACAAGTGTGCAGACTTTAGGCTGGGTTCAAGCTAACAGGACTTATTAATGACAAGCACAGGAAAAACTCATAATGTAGGCCCCATGTGTCAAACACAAGGCCCGTGGGCCAAGTCAGGCCCGTGACATTGGCCTGCGGGCCTTGTGTTTGACACACAGGGCCTACACCCTGCTCCTGCTCCCAGCCCTAACCCTGGTCCAAATCCTCCAACCCCACCACTGTTCAGAATCAACTGAGTTTGGAATCAACAGATAGTTAAAATAAATCCCCTTTAAACAAAGCCATATTCTTACATAACGTACATTTTACTGTGCTTTTAAGGCCTTTTATCTCACACACACGATATTCGTGAGACTGTATCACTTTGCTATTTTTCCTTTTCTTTTACTTTTTAACTATTTATTTATTTGTTATGCACAACTAAGCCAGTAGTCATAGTTTAAAGCCTTTATTATGTTACGTCCCAATCTCTCTCAGCTAATTACTTCTAAGTATGTGAAGCGTTTAGTGTCTTCTTGTTTCAGCATCTTCTATCTTACCCTTATTTTACTGCTCACCATATTATTAATCGTTTATTATGGGCTCATAGACGCACAGAGCTGTTCTGAGGCCATAAAGAGCCTCGAATCTTGAGTGAGAGCTAATGGGCTGCGCTCCAATCCGCACACTCGTGTTGTAACTAGTACGCTTAGCAAGTGCGTAGAATCCCAGTGGCCTTGCTAGCGTGTTCCAAACCACACGGTCCTGCGCTCTAACAAGTGGCTCACTTAAGGGGAGTGTCCACCAAGCGTTTGGTGGACACTGCCATCAAGTGAGCCACTAGGTCACGAGACTGTAGTTAGGACACTAGACCGCAGATTGGAACGCGGTTGGACTTCTGGCTGATCGTAGCGCGGAAGGGCGGGACTTGCCGGAATACGGGTGGGGGAAAAAAAGAATATCGCTGGATGTTCCCGCACTTCCGTTGTAGGCTGTAGGCGGAAGTGTGAATGCTGCCCCGCTCCAGTTGTGGAGTTTCTATATGATCAGATTTAGTAAAGTATTTCAGTTTTACAGGTTTCAAAGCTTCATTTCCAACCTAAAATGTTTATGTGGAAGCTTTTAAAAGCTTCTTAGTGACGTAACCGCAGAAAAAGAGCACATCTGAGAGTTTTAGTGCATCAGAACTTAATTCCGTATGTTAATTTTAATAAAACTGTAAAGTTTACAGTAAAGAGTCCAATGAATATGCAGTTGGTGACTTGTTTAAAAGGCATTTTTCGATTATTTATCTATAATTAGATGGTTAAGATCATTTCAGAAAGGTTTTCAGTGAAATGCTCCGTTCTAGAGAAACTGGTTCACAGTGGTGGTGATAGGAACCAGACGTCCATCTTCAAAAAGCTCCCTCACAGAGAGTTACTACATGAATTCACTGTCTGATGTCTGAGACACTGTTTTAGAATAGTTTTGAGAAGGTTTTGGCTTTAAACATATTTGAAAGTCCATTCCTGGTGGAGGGATACATGCAGGGTGCTGTGAGGCAAAATAGTCCCCCAAAGAAAACTTTTTTTTCTAGATTTACAACTTTTTTACTGCAAATTTACCACTATTTCCTATCATCAACATTGCATATAAAAGCTCAGAAGACTCATGCAGGTTCACTGGTGGTTTTGGATAGTAAATAAAATGTCTATATTTGTGTTGTAGTCATGGCGACCCCTGGTTCCTATCACCACCACTGTAAAGACATCTGAACCATTTCACACCAAACAACTCTGACTGACTCTGTTTACATCTTAAACACTGAACAGGAGACCCAGTGACATTCTGGGGAAAAATGTGCATTGGAAAAAATCTATGGGTCTATGGGTCATCAAAAGCCCTGACCCATTTGGCTCATTTGAGGGTCCTCATTTCAAAATGCAAGCAAAAGTGGCTGTAGGTGTCCCATTTCTCATTTCGGAGTTCAAAGTCCTAAGTAGGAACTTCTGAGAAGCACTTGAAGGCAGCATAATACAAAAGCAAAATCAGCTTGTATCTCCAAAAATGGTAACTTTACAGGAGAAGGAAAAAACCTACTTTACTTTTAATGTAAGTCAATGGAACCAGACTTTTTTCCAAGTAATTTTGGGCCATTTCTTTTGGTCCATTCATCATGAAATTTACACACAGGGTAAAGGGCAACAGGCATTTTCAAATTATGTAAAAACTGAAAAACGGCAAAAACGGAGATGAGGTTTTGCTCCGACAGTAGTGATATGTTGTGTTTTAGATGCAGGTATGCTGGTCAACCAGCATGACCATGCAGGGTGACCAGCTTATCCAACATAAACAAGCATAGACCAGTTGTTGTTTTCAGCAGGGTGTGCAGTGCACAAGTCTGTCCCATTTAACCCCAGCACCTCTGTGATCTCTTGCCCTCCACACTAAAGCCCAGTCCCAAACGGCATATTCATGGTCCTGCAGTCCACAACTGAATGTGCACTCAAGGTGTCCCATTTCTCATGCAGCTATTCAAAGGGGTGCTCACTAGTGCCCTCTGTGCTCCATTACCGCAGCCTTTGGTGAGGCATACAACACTGCAGCCTATTACTCAAAATTCCATGAGATGCAGGTGAGGACCAATCAGAGTGGTGGGGTTTGTTTACAACTGTCTGGACAACATGGTAGAGAGGAAGATACTTGGAGCAAACCACACCACTCGACTCATCCCAAAGGCATTGGATGGAGTGCAATCACTCTAGAGTGCTATAGCACTCTAGCCAACACTTGTCATTGGGCATGGTCACCTTAGAGATCTTGTGTCAAACACGTGGGTCAAGTCAGGCCCATGGCGCAATCCTATTTGGCCTGCAAAATTATTTCAATTTTTCAATTTTTTTAAATTAACATTAGCCCATTTTACCAGGAGCTGTACTACAGTTCCCAGCATGCACTGCAATGTAATGCAATGAGTTTTTATTTTAAATTATTTTTGAATCGTTCAAATATTCAGTGCCTATTTTTGTCGTTGTAGTTTTGGCATACTTTGAACAAACAATGGTCAGTTGGGGTCACGGCAAAATGGTAAGTAAAAATAAAATAAAAAACACAGCCGGCCTACAGATTTGGCCCTTTTTGGTGGTTGAGTTTGACACCCCTGCCTTAGTGCATCTCATTCTACTGGTTTAGTGCTTTTCTATGGAGATTATAGTCAGAAAAACAGCCTTTGTTTATTAAATTAACTTTTCATTGGTCTGCATCATGTCTGTAATCTGAATTTAGACACTGTTGATAAGCAGATTAGCTCATTAAAATAACACTGCTGTCGGAAGAAAACCTCGTATCTTCAAAATGGTAACTTTACAGGAGGAGGAAAAAACATACTTTATAATGTAAGTCAATGGAACCAGACTTTTTACCAAGTAATTTTGGGCCGTTTCTTTTGGTCCATTCATCATGAAATTTACACACAATGTAAAGAGCAACAGGAATTTTAAAATTATGTCAAAAACTGAAAAACGACAAAAATGGAGATGCTGTAGTGATATAATAGTATGACTGAAATGCCGCATGGAGCGCATGCAGAGTCTGTATGTCGCTCGATTCTGTCCCAAATGCACACATTTAAAACAAAGTACACTTGAGATCTCGTGCCCTACAGGTTAGCACATTGTTGACATCAACAAAGTATGGACTTGGAGGAGGACCACAGGGCTTAGGGGTCTTGGCCTAATTACTGAACTACACCAGTAATTAAGATGGTTCTTTAGTAAAGGGAATGGTTCTATTTAGAACCACGTGTTCTGTATAGAACCAATGATTCTTTGCATGGTGAAATTATTCTTCAGGTTGGTGGAAAATGTGCTGTATGTGGTTCTATATAGCACCAAAAAAGGTTCTGCTATTGTTATGATGTCGAACATTAGAAGAACCCTTTTTGCTGCTAAATAGAACCATATACAGCACATTTTCCATCAATCTGAAGAACGATTTCAATATGCAAAGAAGAATTCATGGGTCTAAAGAACCATTCCCTTTCCTACGGAACCCTTGAAGAACAATCTTTTTCAAGAGTGTAGACTTTTGAAAAAGATGGCGCCTTAAGGGTTCTTTAGTAAAGAAAATGGTTCTATATAGAACCATGAACACCCAAAGAACGCTTTGCATGATTAAAGGAATCGTGAAAGCGTTCTTCAGATTGATGGAGAACGTGCTGTAAATGATTCTATATAGAACCTTTTTGAAAATAGTTCTATATAGCGCTCAAAAGGGTTCTTCTATTGCTATTATGTCAAGCTTGTAACAGTAGAAGAACCCTTTTGGGTGCCATATAGAACCCTTTCAAAAGGTTCTATATATAGAACCGTCTATAGCACATTTGTGCACATTTTCCATCAATCTGAAGAACCCTTGTATGATGCAAAGAACTGTTTAATCATCGAAGGGTTCTTTGAGCGTACGTGGTTCCATATAGAACCATTTTCTTCACTAAAGAACCCTTGAAGAACCGTCTTTTTTAAGAGTGTAGGGAGCTCTTTCGTAACACCCAGAGATGACGGCAGGAGGCCTTGTTTGTCTTGGTGTCCCACCCTGAGTGACAGGACAGCATGGGCTGGAACACATGGCCCAACAGCCCCCTTCTCCAAACTGCTCCCCCAGATTGGAGTTTGCCCCACAGCCCCCTCAACCAACACCCACCTACCCTACCACCCCCACCCCACTCCCTCTGAACCCTAACCCTGCACATGGTACGTTCCATTTCCTTATTTGGTCATGCTGAATCGGTGCCACCCATATTACAGTCCCACTGAGTCACACTCTCACCACCTTTCAGAGGTTAAACATTGTCAGAGCACTTCACGTTTTTATTTACCCCTCTAAACGTTTTTATCTCTATGTAAAACCCGCACATCGGGGGTAGAACCTGAGTTTGAATCACAGGAGAAAAACCAGGCGAGTTTGTGCGGACTTGTTTCCAGTCGGACGGGAATCAGCGGCGCTCCTTCTGCGCTGGAGTCTGTCAGAGAGATCTGGAACTGAGAGGAACTGAGCGATAAAACACGAAATAATGCAGGTTTGTCTCTAAAAATCACATTTCTGGCTTAATTAGTTCAGAAACGGGTTCATGTAGATGTTAAATACCCGATTTGGGTTTATTTTCTGTCCTCTAAAGATGAAAAACACACGACGAGGCTGAAGTTTGCGTCCCATTCGAATTTTCCGTTCCACCTTAAATCGCCCCGCAGTTTCATTCGGATGCCTCAGGTGCCCGAATGTAACTGCTGCGCCATTTAAGGTGGAACGGGAAAATTCGAAATAGAAGCTAACCTGCTTCGTCTAGTCAGGTTATTTTAGGAAACTGCGTTTAGTTTTAGACGCCTTGTCTGTTTTAAAATGTCTAACAGACCGAATACGAAACATTTATGACCTTTTTCACGATGACTTTTAAACGTAGAGTTTTTAGCCTCATTTTAAGTTGTATTTTTAAGGTTGCTGCTTTATTTCTACCTGAATTATTACTACGTTGAAGTGAACACACTTTAACTCTTTTGTTTGAGGGTCGTATTTGTTAATTTAGGATGTTTTACACAGATTTATACAGTTCCTCATCTCTTACCTCGAATGTCGTCAAACAGACATGTTTGGTGTTTGAAAATTGGTTCTTTAGCTTTAGCACTGGAGCTAAGAGGCTACAAGTAATGGAAGGTGATGCACTGAAATCCCTCACATTACTTGTACTTAAGTAGTCAAGTTATAATTACTTGTCTTCTTGTTTATCACTTAATTCAGGCAAAAATTAAAGTATAACTATTTTAGTGAGTAGAACAGACTCAAAAAAACAAGTAGCAACGCATTTTATATATATATATATATATATATATATATATATATATATATATATATATATATATATACACACACACACACTGTACTTTTAATGTAAGTGAATGGAACCAAAAATTTTTTCCAGGTTATTTTGGGCTGTTTCTTTTGGTCCATTCATCATGGAATTTACCGAAAGTGTAAAGGGCAAAAGGCATTTTTAAATCATGCCAAAAACTTTAAAAAAAAAGACCAAAATGGAGATACAATGTTTTTTTTCCAACAGCACTTTACATGTTTTACTATCCTAAGCATGAACGTGTTTAGTTTCTCTGTTTTGCCTTCAGTTTGGTTGTAACAAACAAATAAAAATGACTAAATAATATTTATTTTTAACTCTTTTAAAAGAGTTTTCTTTTATGTGTAAGTTTGTGATCATTACAATGTTTGGAACTGTTTTAAAATCTTTGTTTCAAACACAAGAATTCCAAAAGAATCAAAACTTTTCAGATTTCCTCATTATCCATAAAAATAGATGGAAGTACATCATATAGGTAAACACCATAGCAGCCATCTTGGTGCCTGCATTTTGTTTGTACTTGACAACAGACTTCCAGTACTTGTTACGTACATAACCAGTGCAAAACTCAAGAAGCAAACTTCGGACACCAAACATCTTTTGGGTGATCGACTACATTTAGGGAAAGAAGAAAATTTGGGTAAATGAGGTCAATTTTCCTCTGAACCTTTTATAAAACAATGTACATGCTGTATGTGAATGATTTCGGCTGTAGGACCCAAACGAAGACACTGAGTGGAATGATATTCTGCGGAAGAAGGGCATCCTTCCTCCTAAAGAGACGCCGAAGGAGGATGAGGAAGAAGAGCAGATTATTCAGCAACAGTCCATTGGTAAGATTCTTAAGTGTCAGAAAACTGAATGAAAGTGTATGTAATGACCACAAGCTTGTGTTCCACCTCTAACAAACACTATGGCCAAAGGTTTGTAGATGTTCTCCAGCGTTTCGTCTGAAGTCAAGGGTATTAATTGAGAGGTTTTTCGCCCTTTTGCTGCAGTAACAGCCTCTACTCTTTTAAGAAGGCTTTAGACTAGATGTTGGAACATTTCTATGAGGATTTGATTGCATTCAGCCACAAGAGCACAAACACCACTCACAAAACTCAGCCGAGAGCTTATTGGTTTAGAGTGCATGGTGACCTTAGAGCATCTCATTCTATTGGCAGTGCTTTTCTGTGGTGATTATATAAGCTCTTTATGTGCAGTTGAACGCCTTTGTCAGCTAAGTGTGTAAGTGTGCACTTACAGTTGCTTAATATACTCGTTAGAATGGCTTAGGACTGTGTGGATACTTTAAGAGCTTTCAGAAGTAGACCCTGTGGTGTCTCAGAGAGATGATCATTGGAGACGTACGTGGTTTATTAAGTTTGATTTCACCTTGAATGGTTTGTTGTAGAAACTGGCCCTGATTTTCCTGTTTGTTTCCTTTGTTCCCTCTAGTGAAGACATATGAGAACATGACCTTGGAGGAGCTGGAGGAGAATGAGGATGAGTTCAGTGACGAGGATGAGGTTGCCATAGAGATGTACAGGTGAGTTTTGCCAGACCCGTTAAAATGGCATTGATACAGCAGTTAGTGATTAATGCGTCTTAAATTGATATTTGGTTTTTAACCCCCTTCACCAACCCTATCCCCCCATTAACTCAAAATATCGTAATTACAGACAAAATTTAAGTGCTATTGCCTTTTTTAGATATGTACTTTTGTCTGTGTGATATATAATGTCATACGGTGACAGAAACCACATAATTAAGTCTATTAGAGATTACAGGTCCACATAGTTTGAGGCAACTTTATGATTTAGGCAAGCATGTAGCACCATGCTAATTGGACATTTCCATTATTTAGCGTCATTGCTCTTGTGCAAAATTAAAAAAGCAGACCTTGGTTATCAAATCTTCACATATCAGAGATCTTGGCTTAACAGCTACATTTGGGGTAATTTTGCACTTAAATGCAAGTTTACACCTCATAATGACTGAACAAGCTAAACCCCATGTTATGTAGTCTTTATTGATGTTTTGTTTTGCCTGTTGTTTCTCAGGCAGAAGAGGCTTGCAGAGTGGAAAGCTAACCAGATAAAGAATGTGTTCGGGGAAGTGAAGGAGATTTCTGGTCAGGATTATGTTCAGGAAGTGAACAAGGCTGGCACCGGCATCTGGGTGGTGCTGCACCTCTACAAACCAGGGTGAGTATAGTGTCTTATCACAGGAGTGCTGCAAAAAGTGCCTTCAGTCCTCTCTCCAAGCCAAGCCTACCAGGCAGTGTTTGAACTTTTTTCAGACACAACATTCTAGAAAAGGGCCCCACACCTTAAAAAAAAGGCCCAAAAGGTTGTCTGACAGAGGAAGAGAGAGTGTCATTGGGAATTAAAGGGGAATTCCATTGATTTTTCTACGGTTTTGTATAATTCAGTGGTCGAGGGGTAAACAAAGTCATTCGGATTGGTTTGATGTGGAATGGTTCATTTGCAGTGAAACTCGCAGACTGATTTCTTTACAGTGGTGGTGACAGGAACCAGGAATGCCAATGTCTACAACAGAAATAGTAATTTTATTTACTATCCAAAACCAACAGTGAACCTACACGTGTCTTCTGGGTTTTTATATGTAGTGTTGATGGTGGAAAAATGTGGTCAATCTGAAAAAAATAAGTTTTCTTTGGGGACAATTTTGCCTTAGAACACCCTCCATGTACCCCTCCACCATGAATGGATTAAATAAATTGATTTAAAAACGTTTTAGACTAAAACTTTCACAAAGCTACTGTAAAACAATGACTTCAGGCAGTGAATTCATAATCATTTCATGTAATAACTTTTTGTAAGGGAGATTTTAGAGGTGGACGTCTGATTCACCAGCCGCTGTGAACAATTCTGGCTCTGTATGTTTCTCTAGAATGCAACATTTCACACTAAACCGTTCTGAAGGATTTTGTTGACATTTTAACTATTTACCTATGCAAAAATTTTGAAAAATTCATGGAGTTCCTCTTTAAGATCTTTAATAAACTGAATGCAAGTTTTTCAGTATTTATTTTTTGTCACTTTTTAAGCTGTTAGTCGCTTTATTCTGTCAAGTTAGTTTTGGTCCTTTAATAATTAATTTTTTTATTGCTGAAAATTTTAAGTAAAAATATATGCTGTGCAGGTATTTTTAGTATTTCTTTGTATATCAAAATAATAATAGCTTGACCTTTATATTCCCAGCATCCCACTGTGCACTCTCATAAACCAGCACCTTTCAGAGTTGGCCCGAAAGTTCCCACAAACAAAGTTCCTGAAGTCCATCTCCACCACCTGCATACCCAACTACCCTGACAGGAACCTTCCCACAATCTTTGTTTACTTCGAGGGAGAGATGAAGGCCCAGTTCATCGGCCCCCTTGTTTTCGGAGGCATGAACCTGAAGTGTGATGGTATGTAAGTTTTATACATATTGAATCTGGGATTAAGCCTAGTCTTGGACTATTCAGCGTTCTGAATAAAGATTCTCCACTGAAAGGAAAATGTAGTCCAGGACTAGGCCTAAACCCTGACAGGGAAACTGACCCTTACTGTGTTTTTGGAGAAAGTGTAAGAAGTGATTTGAGAGTACATTCGAAATCTTTTTTGTAGTCATACTGATAACATTTAATATCACAGTATTATTCAAATGTATCATTGTATCACAACATTTGTTAATATTTAACCTCTTCAACTCCTTGAGACCACCGGTGGTTCCAAAACGCACTGTCATATTTTTCATAACTTTCATATTTCATAAGCTACATTCAAAAAGTGGGGGTCATATGAGAGCTTTAACTGTCTTCTTTCCAGTCAAATAGATGGGTAATGTAATTTTAAACCCTTATAATAAAAGAAGCTGAACACACAGTTGTCACATTTTTTTTGCCTACTGAAAGTCGACCCATTTTTTCACAAATCTGGGCTATAAACTATAAACAGATGGTGTCTTTTCAGTGATCTGCTCTGTAAAAATTATTTGTATAAAATAATACAAAGAGCGTCTAATTTTTGGCTTTCAGCAGTAAATTGTAAGCATATAGCAACGTGTATGATCATAAAACACGTTCTGTTAAGTTGAGGGGAGATTTAAAAAAAAAATTAAAGAAAATTAAAATTTACATTTATTTCATGCAGTTACTGAATAACTTGCCTCACGATTTGGTCATGTAAATTCAGATGGAAAAACCAAAACATACCCTGGTCAATAAGAGGTCAATGTTAAAAGCAACCCGTTGCTACTCTGTGCTAAAAGAACGTCTTACGAAACTGACAAAGCTTGTCCTGCTCTGGCAGAACTGGGCTTTGTAAAAAAGACTATAAAATGGCAGGATGTCATTTTAACATCTAAAGCTTCCAATCTCAGGTGGTTGTGGTGTTAATCTTTCTGTTGCGGTTGTCTGTTCACCAGAGCTGGAGTGGCGGCTGGCAGAAAGTGGTGCGGTGAAGACCGACCTGGAAGAGAACCCAAGGAAGCAGATCCAGGATCAGCTGCTGACATCCATCCGCTGCTCAATGCCCAGCCGCAGAGACAGCGACGAATCTGACGAGGACTGAGCCTCCATCCCATGGGTGCCTTCATAGAGACCCGACAAATGGAGGTTGACATGTGAAAACAAAACAGGACTCGGCCAAATGCATTTCTAATGGTGCCAAGGATTTTTCATATCCAAGGAGCCAAATGCTCCAACATGTTCCCCTCGACAACACAGCTGTTGTCAGTTTTGAAGAAAGTGTGAAATGTTAGTGTCGCTGAACAGAGATGTATATCATGAACACACTCCTATGTTTATATTCTCCTTGTCATATTTGGAGGAAGTGTTCCCTCTAGTGGTAAAGAACTGTGCCCAAAGAACTGCATTGACCTCGGAGACAACAGGATTTTTGAGTTGACACTTACCAGAAATACCAGATAAAGATAAATACAAGATGAATATTTTATTTATGGCATGTATAATCCATTATACATGTTTATCATCATTGTCTAAACGGTTTTATATAAATGTTATCATTGGCTGTCACCATAAAAACACTTGATTTATGATTGTTTTCAGTTTTTTTGTCTTTTGGATCTGTAGCTGTATTTCTACACCCGTCAGGTCCAGATGTCTTCACAAAGTCAGTAAAACACAAAAGGAAAAAAAATGTAAGATGGCAGTTTAGTTGGTCTCCACTTATAAATTCTGAAAAAAGAGATGCTTTGGAAATAAGCTTACATTTACAATTGTAGTGTGGATCAGGGGGATGACCAGGATTGTTCTTTGAGTTGGAGATGATTTAGTTACAGTTTTGAGGTCACGGGATGTATGTGTGCATGATACGTGACGAAGAGAGATTGAGCAAATTTATTGCACACCACACACACCCATGAGATTACATTTATTTACAGAATTGAGTGTGAAGTACAGTCCAAAACATCTGGCAGAACATTTCAGCCAAGAAACCAGTCCTAGTCCAGCTCCAGATGTTACGGTTCTAATGAGCATCCAAATAAAGAACAGAGCACATCTGCACAGAGGTAAAGAAACAGATATAAGAAGAACAGATAAACTACAGGCAATGTATTTGTATGGACGCTGCAAATACATCAGTTTCTTAGTGTCTGACTTGACTTCAGGAATTGAAAATGTTTCAGGGCTTAAAAGCCTTCTAGTATTAATTTACTGAATTGTGTCTAAGTACCTGACATGAGTAGTAACTAGTTCTACTTTTAGTTACAAGTGTTTAGGTAAAATTTTGATTTGTTCTTCTCTGAGTCTCTTCACCTCCTGAACTGATTTACTGTTGCTAACTCCTCTCACTTTGGAGCACTGGTGTTTTATTTTAGACCAAAAGGCTAAAAAAGAGAAAAATGGAGCCTAACAAACCTCAGTTCCTAAGCTGATAGATGCTGGATGTTCTAAGAAGTTTTTCTGCAGTTCTTTATGGCAGTTCAGCACTGCAGTTATTTGTCTTGATACTTTTTTTTTGACTGAAGTTGTTTTGTGGTAGGCTACTTTCTACTTGAGCGATTGAAGTAAGAGCTTTCCTTGTATGTGGTTTTGGGTACTCTATCCAGTCTCAAAAATAAAAGTTCCTTAATGGTTCTTGGCTTGAATGCATGTATGGTTCTATGGAAAACCTTTAACTGGTATAGAAAATTTGAAAAGGTTCTTCACACTCGCACATCTCATTTACCAAAATGATTGTTTACAGAGGTGTTCTTCTAGGGCATTGCTCCAAATAAAATAATCTTTTCTGGATCCCCTGAGCAATTTTTAAGAATGCACCTCTGCCAAGTCAGATTAAAACTGCATTTTTAATTTTCTATGCATAGAAATATGACACTGTAAAAATTGGAAGTATTGATACATACTAACTTGTTTTGATGTAACTGAGAACCACAGAGAAAAGTGATGACTGTGAACTCATTTGCGTGCAGGTTAATGGTGCTTACCTCGCACAAATCTATTTGAACGACCGCACGCCGTCTTCAGCTTCTCTAAGAGAAAGACAGTGTCACACAAACAGACCTTTGCAAGGAATGTAATGCATCATGTGACTTCAGAATTGCTTTTCAGAATTCCTCATTTTAGTGGCTAGATTAGAAGACAATCTGTAGCATTTTGAAGTCAGATTACTTTACATAAATCAGCTCATCAGATGGAAACAAAATGGAGAAATCTGCATGATTCTTACAGAGTGCACCTGCTGTTTCTTTCTGCGCTGGGTGAACTTAGGTGAGAGACGCATCAATGGGTGGACAGAGTGAGACTAGACAAATAATACACAACTTAGTTACAGTTCAAGTAAACAAAAACTTCTCATACAAACATTGAAAATATTAACCTGACACACTGTGATATTGCTTTTCAGTTTAAGAGTAATTTTTAGTGATATATTTGATAGATTCATGATATAATGCCCATAGTGCTGTTCCTGTTGTCAAAAGGTTTGTTGTGACACACTATGTCAGGTTTGTAAGACTGTTTCAGCAGCATTCCAGAAGAATGATCTCATTAAATTTATTTAAACATAATCTAATACCGTGATATTGAAATGAATCAGTATAGCCCAGCTCTAAACTGAAGACCGCTTTACCTCTCTCTCAACAGAGCCGACTGAATTCTGTGCCTTGGAATAGTGAAACAAGAACTGAAAAGAAAACAGACGAAGACATGATCTATTTGTATTAAAGTCAGTTTCTATGTATGTGCAATCAAAATGATTAAAAACATGGTGCGGATACAGAGTAATGCATGACACTAACCCGTTTGAAAACATTCTGGATCTGCTCCTGAGAAACGTGAATGCGCAAATATTCAGTATTAGATAATGGGTACTAGTGTTAAAATATGTGATAATGTACTAATAATAAGAACGCACACATACAGACACTGCATGCAACTTCTCACCTTGTTCTGGTCTTGCCACACAAGTCCACACAGAGTGCTCTGCACAGCAGAACCCTGCAGCAGAGAGACAGTTCCTCAATGTCAGTCTTCTGCTCAAATCGTGAGGCTCATACTTGTCAATGCTCCTGATTTGCCTCAGAAAATCCAGATTTTCATTACCCTCACTGTGTGTTCTACTGGTGTCAAAATTGTCATATTTCTCTGTTTTAGAACAAATGACCCTCTTAAATTCAGCATAGCAGACTGGTGATCTAAATAGACTGCGAAAAACACTGTTGCTAAAATTGCCTGCACATGGTCATGGCTAAAGCTGTGAGAGTACAAGGTTGTTCTAAAGCTTTGAGGGTACAGGTTTGTTTTGAAGTTGTGAGAGCACAGGGCTATTTTAAAGCTGTGAAGCTACAGGGCTGCTCTAAAGCTGTGAGGGTATAGGGTTATTCTAAAGCTTTGCGTGTATAGGTTTGCTTTGAAACTGTGAGGGTGCAGAATTGTTCAGGTTGTTTAGAAGTGGTGAGGGTCCTGGGTTGTTCTGAAGCTCTGAAGGTCCTAAGTTGTTCTGGAGCTGTGAGGGTACACAATTGTTTTAGAGCTATGAGGGTACAGGGTTGTTCCAAAGCTTTGAGGGTACAAGGATGTTCTGAAGCTGTGAGGGTACTGGGTTGTTCTGAAGCTGTGAGGGTCCTAAGTTGTTCTGGAGCTGTGAGGGTACACAATTGTTTTAGAGCTATGAGGGTGCAGGGTTGTTCTTAAGTTGTGAGGGTACAGGGTTGTTCTGAAGCTGTGAGGGTACAGTTGTTCTGGAACTATGAGGGTACATGGTTTTTCTGAAGTTGCAAGAGTACAGGGTTGTTCTGAGGCTGTGAGTACGGGGTTGTTCTGAAGCTGTGAGGGTACAGGGTTGTTCTGAAGCTGAATATTTAGGAATCTGTTAGGTGGTTCAGGACTACGCTGAAAGTATGAGGGTATGGGTTGAAGTTGTGAAGGTACAGGACTGCACAGGAGCTGTGCAGGATGTCTGCAGGCCTAATTTGGTTTAATACCCGATGTTCTTGACTCCTATCGAGCCACTCTAGCTTTACAGGAGCATCGGAATGGTAGAGCCAGGCTTTGTTGCTCCATACTTTGTTACATTCGATATGTATAACAAAAATAAATCTGAATGGAACTGATTAAACAAAGCTAAACACTGCCTTCTGCCATTCAGAGAGTTTCTTTTTATATGGAATTACCAAACTTTTGATTTTGTTTTGTGAAACCAGGCTGGTGACTCAACTTACCAGTTAATTTCCAGATTCGTTTGGTTTGTTGTCGCAAGGAAAATAAGCAAACTGTGCTGGACACAGTTCCCCACCCTAGTGTTAAACTGACATCTAATACTAGGACTGAAGGCTTAATTCTACTTTCAAATTCACAATTTTTCAGTCAGATAAGACAAAGAAATGTTGTGCTTTTGCACGCTGAAAGGCAACATGCTCCTGAATAGCATCTAAATGGTGAGGTATTAGCGCAATATGGGTTTTAAAACTGAAATGTAACACAATTTCAACATGTGACTAGCTGAACCAAGGAAGAATGGGTCACAGATAGGTGAACTCTGCATGATGTCTACAGAAAGAGAGAGACTTAGCTAAGGAGTGTAATCTTATTATGGGTATGACAGGTACCTAAAGGTCAAGATATAAGTCAGAAATGAAAAAAAGAAAAGTGTGATTTATAATTAAGGCAGGACACTATGAAAATGACTCATCGTGACATTCACATCTTGACATGTTACTGTGGAAGCAAGGCTCTTACATAGCGTGACTCACATATGTGCATGTGTGAGAGAAAGAAAGGCTCAGTCTTATTTCTGATGTGTGGTAACTGCAGTCATTAGTTTCTCTGAGAGTCTGACTCCATATAACATGAGAAAAGGGAAGATGGTGACTGAACAATTTTACACTTTGGGCACTTATTGCTTGGTAGGTGACCAAACACTGACGTTACACAAATGTAATGTGCTTCAAATGAAGTTGTCCCAATATTCATCCTCAGTTTAAACTGGTTGTTTAAATCTGAAGATGACATTTTCCTAACATGTTTAACACATATAAAAATTATTAGATATAAAAGCATAAATATTCTGTAACATAACCTCATATTTATCTTTTTTTTATCTGAAATGCAAATGCACACCAAAAATAAATCATTTTACCTCACTATCCCAATACGTATGGATGTATGTATGTATGTGTGTGTGTATAATGTGCCATTACTTTTGTACAGGTCATATTTTATTTCTTATTATCCATATTTTATGTTTCATTTCCTTCAAATTCAGCAGATAAGCAAAAATGATGCATTGAAATGTAGAGGATGCATTCATTTATTTTCACTAATAAAATAAATAAAACATTTAATTTCACCAGAGGTGCCTAAACTTTTGCCTATGACTGTATGCTTCTCACTTATGGCTTAAAAATTCAATATGGCTTGTTAATCTAAATAAAGATCCCTTTAAATCTCTATAAAATTGTGTGTAGGTCAGTGTCCTTTGATCCAGCTAAATAAAACTCTCCAGACTGTGATATTTAAGAGGTATTTCAGAGATTTTTCCATATTACTTCATAATTAAAGGGTTAAGATATACAAATATTAATGCAGTAGTGTTAACTTGCTTGTGACAACAATCATATTACAAAACCTTAAAGTGGAATTCCAACATTTTTTCCAAAATATTCCATAACTAAATGGCCAAGATGTAAATAAAGTTATTCGTTTGATGTTTTTTGATGTGAAATTCTACAAAAATCCAGAGAAACATACCAAGTTAGAATGGTTTACAGTCATGCTGATAGGAACCAGACGTCTGAAATGCCTTAATGCCTCTAACAGTTGGCAGAACGTTACTGAATGAAATCAGCTGCCTGATGCTTGATGCTTTATGATAATTTTGCTATTAAGTTTTGGCCACCAATGTATTAAAATTCCCTCACAGAAAGTTATGATCTGAAATGGTTATGAATACACTCCCTGATGTCTCAGACATTGTTTCACATATTTTTTTAATCCATTCATGGTGGAGGGATACATGCATCATGATGTAAAGCAAAATAGTCCCCAAAGAAAACTATTTTTTTCAGATTTACCATTATTTTACCATCATCAACATGACATATGAAAACTCATAAGGTGTACACTACAAAACATAAATTTACTCATCTGTTAATGCAAATCTAGGATCTATTAATCTGGATAAGTCCTACTGCTCTCCAGCGTTTGGTTTTGTTGGTTTATGTTAGTTCCCTCTTATTTTTCTACTCTTTGCATAGTGTTATTTCCAAGTTCTCATGCCAAAGTTCTCTACATTCTCATGCCAAAATGTTACATTTGGATGCATTTTTACGTGTTTTTGTTTTGTGTTCAGCTTTATCAGTTCAGCCTGTAGCCACAAATGTTATCAGGTGGCAAATATCAGCCCTCAAACAGTTCCTGAACACAATGACAAAAATGCATGATATTAAAAATAATGGAATTGTTTTTGCATCATGACATGGTTCTTCACACTGATGGAGAATATGTTGTATATGGTTCTATATAGAACCTTTTTGAAAAGGGTTCATATTGCACCAAAAAGGATTCTTCTGTTGTTACAAGCTTGACAGTATATCAATAGCAGAGACCCTTTTTGGTGCTATATAGAACCATTTTCAAAAAAGGTTCTGTATAGAACATACACAACACATTTTCCATCAATGTGAGGAACCATTTCACGATCCAAAGAACTTTAAACATGCAAATGGTTATTTGAGTGTTCATGGTTATATATAGACCTTTTACTAAAGAACATTTGAAGAACCATCTCAACTGAAACCATTTAAAATGACTGTGCTGTTTGGGTTAAACTTACTAGCTGTTGAAATGTGGATCACTGAAAATTAAAAAATAACTATAAATCAAATAAAACGTTGTTAAAGCTTGAACTTGCTGAGTAACTTCATTTTTTAAGGCAATACATTTGCATGATTTTATACGTAAAGTTAACTAATTTTACAGTTTACACCTTCACAGTATAGGCTGACTGGTGGTTCTGGAATAGTAAATAAGGTCCCCAACAATAAACCATTAAACAACAAACCACTCTGAATGACTTTACATCTCAACCATGAAATTTTGAATTTTGAAAAGTGGGTGGAAGTCCCCTGTAATGCGGTTTCCTGAAGGAGTGAATGAATGAGTGTAAAATGTATAACGTCTTGTGAGAGAAATGACAGGAGGACGGGGTAATGGTGAAGATAAGATGGACAAGGCTGGCACAAAAAATTAAAGGAGAATGTTTTTATAAAGTGATGGTTTGTAAAAGACTGATTACAACCAAACACTTACCTGCATATAATCTCCATCTTCCTCACAGTCTGTCAATGGATAACTTTCTGAAAACAAGCAAGAATATTCTTATTTACAACATGCTTCAGTAATTACTCTGTTTAAAGTTTGCTCGTATGATCAAAGTGGAACAATTATAAAGTATGTCAAACTGGCATGCATGATAACTGCTGAACAAAATGTTATTTTTAATTTCATTTTACAGCTTTTATTTTCACTTCAGGTAAGTAGGACAAATAACTGATAACAGTGGTTACAAAACAGATAGTTTTGTCTATTTTTAAAAAAAACATGTAAATAAACCTGCAGTTAATCTCTGATGTGGGGATGAAAATTGAGGTAAAATGTTTGTCACTGTAAACTTACTACCATAAAAATTGAAAAGTAACTTAAAACATTTTTAAATTCAGATTAAAAATCAAAACATATGTATCTAATCTCTAAACTGTGCTGTTGTAATCTCTTAAGTGTAAAAAATAATACTGGTATTATCAAACTGAAAGACGTCTGAAGTACATTTATGGAAAAAAGTTAAAATAGTAATGTTTTGAGGATGTTTACATCTCTGCTAAGTAAGCAATATAAAAAATGTATAATTTTGTTTGTAAAATATTTGTAAAAAGAAAAAAAACAGACAAATTAATAGACAGATCTCAGAAATATACTTACTTATACTTAAAAAGGTCTAAACTTAAGTATAAAAACCGAAGTAACCAAAACATAAAAAATTCTCCCCACAAACTAACAGAATTTTGCTCATTTAATCTAAAGTGTGCTTAAAATTCACACCAGTATCAACCGAATTGGACAGTTCTGAAGTTAGGTATAAAAACTGAGGTAAAATTGATTCTTTATCTTATGTTCATCTGTTAAAATCTCCCCACGAACAACAATCTGAGAACTGTGCTGATTTAAAGGGTGCTGAGCATTTACAGTAACGTTAGTGTACTCGAACTGAAACCGTTAGCTAAGCTACGTGTACTAAAGTTAAACGTGAAAACTGAGGTAAAATTTCGCTCTACTGAACATTAAAACACACACAAAGTTAAACTTTCAGTCAGAATTTTAAAAACATGCTGATGAAGTGATGTTTCATCTCCAAAAAGTCTTATTTTCCCCCCCTACCTGCGGTGTGGTGCTGCCCGCTGAAGCCCCACAGCAGCAGGTACAGGACGTTCAGCCGAGCCACACTGAAGCTCATCTCTCCTCACAGCGTCGCGCGACCTGCCCGCCAAACTCTCCCTCATAAAAATGCAGGGACTCGCGCCCGAGCCGACCAATCAGCTTCGAGCGACTCCCTCCTGACCAATGAGCGGCGCCCTCCCTCCCCCCCCTCCCTCCATCCCCCGCGCTCATTATAATAACACGCCTCTGTCTCTGCTGTGAGGAAAAAACCAAAAACAACAATTTACGTGTTTAATAAATGATGTAAAATTGTACGAAGTTAGATCTATTAATAAAGCAGGACTCTTGTTTTCCTTAGACAGGTTAAGCTGTGGAGAAAAAGGGCTAAAAAAACAACAAAAGCGCAAGAAAGTACAGAGGACATAACATTTTATTCAAGTCCCCACTAAAAGAACAAACACAGACCAACAAGTATTTCATGGTGATTTATTTTGGTCTAGTGCTGGTCTGGTTCTGGTTTAGCTGGTCACCCTAGTATGGTCAAACATACCCATATTAAAACACAACATATTCATATTCTGGTTTTGGTGGTCATCAGCATATTAACTTCCATTGCTGCTGACCAGCAGCACCCAAAACACAACATATACTGGTTTGGGTGATCAGCCATGTTGGTCCATGCTTGTTTTTCTAGCAGGTGTGGTGCCACTTTTAGAGTTTCTTACGAGGTTATGCTCTTTTTTATTGATTCGTATATCAAATGTATGTCATATTCTTCTCATGTTTTTTATACTGTTTTTATTCTTGCTTTTATTTATGTAAAGCACTTTGAGTTGTCTTTGTATGGAGCCCCTAAGGTGACATGGTGATTACTTTTTGTAATAAGGCATGGCTACGAGTTAATATATTGAGACATCAAATTTGAAGCCAAGAATTACATTTCTCGTACGTTACGTACCCTCCATGTATTAATTCGTGGCCTCAATATATTAACTCATGGCTTCAGTGTATTAATTTGTGGCCCTGTGTTATCTAAAAATAATCACCAAAGCTGTGTCCGAAACTGTGCCCTATTCAACAGATTTTTTTGGGGTTTCCGCCATTTTGTAGTGGTGTCTTAAACAATCCCACAGTGCACCGCAATAAATAGTGTATAACTGATGTACACTAGCGGACAGGGGGTACCCAGAATGCACTGCGTTGTTTGGTTTAAAGATACACGCACAGCTTCTCTGAGTAGGTTTAGCGAGTCCAGCTACAGTGGCATCATCTCCACAGAGCTCTGTTCACACCTGCTACAGATGCTATAGTAGGCGGGTGGCGGCAGGTTCAAAGTGTTTATGCGACGGAATCTGCTGTTGCACAATAGTGAGCGAACCGGTATGACGTAGTGTCCGAAATTATTTATTTCCATCACCAATTTTGCTCCCTATAATAGTGTTCTATGTAGCGAATTTGATTTTCCAGTGTAGGGTTTAGTGTTAGGGGCCGTTTCGGACACGGTACATCACCTTAGAGACTCCGTACATTTGTGTTTGTAATGTTCTATATAAATACTCTTGCCTTTTCTTGCCTTACAGTATAATGTGGATGATTTGTTCAGGCAAGCAAGAAAAGCGTGGGCCTGTGTGGAGTGGAGGATGGTAATCCGTTTCAAATTTGATTATTTGATTAACTATTTGCAAAGCTCTGGCACTAGCGCTTCAATAGAATACACAGTGGTTAGGCTATCAAGTTTCCAGTGTGTTCTGGGTGGTGCGTCAACTGCAATTACGCATGGTTTACGGGACGAAGCGTAGCCTTCTGAGACCACATTGCTCACATTAGTGCGTAATCTGTCCCAAGTCCACTCAGACAGAAGGTCAATCGGGATAAATAAGGTCACGAAAACACCAAGGATGAACACAAAGATGTATCACATTCCAGTTGCTATGGAGTGGCCATTCAAATGTACACTCTTAAAGCTCATAGACACCAGCTCAGCCAGCGTTTCTTCTCAAATCAAGGGTATTAATTGGGAGTTTGTCCCCAGTTTGCTGCTCGACTCTTCTGGGAAGGCTTTGGAACCTTGCTGTGAGGATTTGATTGCATTCAGCCTCAGGGGTATTAGTGAGATCAGATACTAATGTTGGATGGTCAGTTCTGGATCACAACAATTAATTCCAAAGGTACTGGATGGAGCTCCATCACTCCAGAGAACGTAGCTCTGCTCCACAGCCCAATCTAACCCCCACGCTCGGCATTGGGCATGGTGATCTTGGGCCACAAAGGGTTCTCCTACAGAAATTTGAGAGTGAGAAGTCCTATAAAGATTTAAAGAACCTTCACATGATGTAAAGGTTCTTTACCACTGTAATGATTCTTCCTAGAACCTTTGCATTATGTGGATTCCCTTTAAACCTTAAAAAGGATCTTCAAATTCAGACATCTCATTTACTGCCTAAGGCGTCATCCATACTTACCCAGATATTTTTAAAAACACATTTTTACCTCTTTTTCCAGCAGAAACCTTCTCTGGAATGTCTTATTCTATTGGTCAGTGCTTTTCTACAGAGATTATACAAGCTGTATGTGCAACTGAACACCTGTGTCAGCAATGGGTGGCCCCAAAGTAGCTGAATTCACTAAATCAGAAGGGCTGTGTGGATACTTTGGGCATGAAGTGTGTGTTAGATGTTTTTATTTTTCAAACGTGGTAAGAAAAGGCAGTGACTTTCCAATTGGTGCTGAAAAGCACTCAAATTCTTGCCTGCAGTGACTCAGTAGAGCAGTTATTGGGGGTTAGAGACTAACCGAACCCACACAGAGGCCTTTCAGAGGTGCGAAAGCAAATAATTGTGGTCACCTGCAGGAGACAAGGCCATTTTGAGCTGGAAGGGACCTGACTTCATCATGAGTGGGAAATTGATTTTATCGCAGAAGCCCCGTAATACACATTACACAAGCTAACAGATTGTCCTGTTTTTTTTAAACAGCCTTTGGATAGCTAGTCCCAAATGTCTCTTTACTCTTAATAACCTTGGCCATCTCTCCTGTGCACCTCGGTGAAGTGTATGTGCATGTGTGTGCAGGGGGTGTATGGTGGGAGATTTATAAGGTTAATAACTTCAGCATCGATAAAACCAGGCTGTAGGCACGAGCCGAGTGAGTTGTATATAATAAATGAAATCTATGGCTGAAGTGTCATATTTGATGGTTTAACTATTGATCAGTCGTCCCCCGTGTTACACATACAATCTAAAAAAGAGGCACCACAAAGGGTTCTTCGAAAGAGATTTGAAAATAATGAACTCTTTAAAGGTTTAAAGAACCTTCACATAATATGGAGTTCCTTTACCACCTTAAATGGCCAGGCCACCACAGTCAGACCACCAGCAGACATAAAGTTTTATTACACACTGCTATTACCTAGGAATAGCCCAGCCAGTTTGCATTGAAGTCCCTGTAATTACTGAATAATAAGGCTTAGTTTATTTTGTTTATTTTGTTTATTTTTTGAGGATCCCCATTAGCTGCTATTGTGATAGCCACTATTCTTCATGGGGTCCAATAGACATATCATACATAACAAAAATTGTGCAGTAACAATTAACAAAACAAGTCATACAAAACACAAGAGTAAAAAAAAAGACTGGGGAAAAAAAAAAGAGGAAACTGAAAAATAAAACGTAGACAATGTAACCATGACATAACATAAGGAAGACAATTGAAAACTGAAAAATCACACAGAAAGAAAATATCATGTGTATATTTACAAAGACTGCAGTATTCTGGTAAATATCTACATTCCTGCCCACTCCACCATAGTGTTGTTCCAGCTGTCAAGGACTGATCTACTTAACTGATCTCTGAATGTGTTAAATAGTGTTTTTTTAATCAGTTTTTTAAATATTATTTTACCCTCAATTTTAAGCAGTGAGACCGGTAGGGAATTCCGCTCCTTTATGGCTCTATAAATTACTGTTTCTGGGTTGAAATCATTTTTGTCGTAGATCTTGTTATATTAGTTTCTCTACCTTTAACTTGCTCCAGTTGATCAAAGAGATCTGCTGGATATTTTTATTCATAAGTATTTTTAATAAGTCGAGTAAGTATCATCTTCCACCTGTCTTCAACCTTTAGCCATTCAAGTTTATGATGCATTTTATTGAAGTTGGTTCAATATGGATATTGTAATGTAATCCTTGCTTCCTTATTTTGCATTATATGCAGTTTGGTCAAATGTTTCTTTGCTGTATTTGATCAGATTGCAGCACAATAATCTAAATTACACAGCGCCAGTGATTCTGACTCTAGTTTTGGTGACCTCGGTGTTAAAAATGCTGCACATCTCCTTATGACTGATAAGACTTTTCCCATTTTTTAAAATTATGTTCTCAATATGTTTTGACCATGATAATCTGTTGTCAATTGTAACACCTAAGAGTTGTACCTCTTGAACTCGTGCTGTTTCTTCTTTGCCTATATTTAATGTTAACTTTGGTTCTCCTTTCATGATTTAGACCTGATTATTATACTTTTTGTTTTCTGCACATTTAGTATAAGTTGATTACCTTCAATCCAGTTTACGACTGTCTTCAATTCTTCATCCAGCATTTTTGAAAGATCCTTTAGTGTCTCGGCTGCTGCATACAGAGTAGTGTCATCAGCGTACATCTGCAGCCTGGCTCTGTTCAATACTAAAGGCAGATCGTTTATATATGTCAGAAATGAAAATGGGCCAAGACACCCACTCCACCCTGATCAGGCAGAGTTTTTTTAAATCTGACTGATCATCAAGTTACAAATCTTTATTGTTCATTGATCATTATTGAGTGTGTTTATATGCACTTAATAATCCGATAACTGCAAAAAATCAGATTTTGTCAGTAATCTGATCATCGCATTTACATGCTCTTGAGTAATCAGATAATGGGGAAACTCCAGGTCTACATGAGTCAGGCAGTAATCAGATTTCTGCTTTGCAACCAGCCAATAAACTCACAGAAGGACACATGACGTAAACATAACGTAAAACTCAAACGTCATACCGCAGCTTTATTTAAAAAAAAACATTGCGCCCTTTACTTGAAAATATGAACATACATCATCTA